ATGGATGATCAAAATACATGGTCAATGTTTAAGATTTTAAAATGTATTACAGTAAAAGATCCATTGCCATCAAACCTCTCAAAATACTCCCTCTTGCTTCAGAAATGCTTATTCCATTAGACTTGCTGCTTTGTGAAGTGTTTCTTGAAGCCTTCTTTTGCAGCTCTATGAAATTTGATCAAAAATATGACAAACGCAGCCACTGAGTGCCAGCAGGCTCCTGTAAAACATTACAGTGTGTCTTTACCCACTCTATTTACTGCATCTGGCATGATGTGACTTCTAGTTCTTCCCCAACGTCAAAATGATCATGAAAGGTGAACATCTGAAATTGTTTCAGGACTTGGAGGCAGCTGTGACCGTGCTACTGAAGACATGAAAGAGGACTTCCAGAACTGCTTTGGAAAATGGCAAGAAGAGTGGGCTAAGTGTTTGAAGTGAAGGGAAATATTGAGGAGGATTAATGGGGACATATATTTTATCACAATACATTTTTAAATAATTTAACTTTAAGCACTTTTTTGACTTCCTATATGAGGGTATTCTGATGTGAAAGGTGTCTATAGATTCTATCCAGGGTAGCTGAATTTCCAGTCTTTTCTGCTGAGAACCCTTCTCCTGTTACAACCAAATCACCACTTACATAGATTAAATTTTCCTAGAGCTCTAGCTAACTTCCTGTTTAGAAAATAATCTTATTTTTCCTTTATCACATCTTTTAAAATACCTTGAGACTAATTTTAATAGTCATTCAAAATATTACACATTTTGGAAAGCAACCAATTGGTAAGTATAACTTATTCATCAGGTAAAATATCTTAGATTGTAAGTTTGAATTGGTAGTTTTGCATAATAGGAATTTAAAATTGCAACATATACATGTAGTTATTTGAGCCCAAAGTTAGCAGCTAAATAGTCATCTTGTCTTTTCTATTTGTTCTATTGTTTAGCCCAGCCTTCTACAGTTGTTTATTTAATTTATTTCTATAAATATATATTAATAAACTTTAGAACTTCCATTTTGTCTTTCACGTCAACACAAGCATAACAAATTTATTTTCTTCTGTTATAATTGGTTCATCTTTGTTATTCCCATTTGCTTTCCATGAGTTACATATGAAGTACAGAATGTTTGCAGGATGTACAATTTATCCATTTGGATTTCATCCATTTTTCCAGGACTACACTGTTTGCAACACCAATTAAATCATTCTACAGAGCTTTAGGGCAGAATCAACAGCTACACTTTAACCAGAGAAAGAAGACTGGTGGACGGGGATTTCTCAAATACAAATCTTGAAGCCACCATGTGTTGCTCAATGGTAAAATGCTTGCCTAGCTATGCAAGATCTAGGTTCAAACCCTAGCACTATTAAAAAAAAATCTTACAAATGAGAGGGAGAGTGAAGAGCGACTGTATTAGTTAGCCTTCTGCTATTATGACAAATACCTAAGATATGGTAAGATATATTTTGGCTCACAGTTTTAGAAGGTTCAGTCCATGGTCAGTTGCTTTTGAGTCTATAATGAAACAAACATCATGGTGGAAGAAAACTGCTCATCTTGTGGCTGAGAAGAGAATCTGGGAAAAGAGATCTGGGTCCCCAAGTTCCTTTGACTCCAATGACCTGATGATCTCACTCCAGGCCCTGTCTCCTGAAGGGTTCACTCTAGTGCCAAGCTAAGAGCTAAAACTTCAACACATGGCCTTGGAGGACATTTCCGGACCAAACCCTAACAAGAACCAAGAGAAGCTGTGACCCTACCACCTTCATGAGCAGGTAACGCTCACCCTGGAGATGGTGTCTCAGAGAAAAAAAAAAACTATGGGCAAAGATGTAGGGACACTGTCCTCTCCATACCCATCCAAGTTGTAAAGTTCTACCCTGTGTTTCAGAAGCTCTGCAATATAAGCAAATTAGCAACACCCACAGCTGTACTGGTTATTTCCTCTCCATTTTTGAAGTGGATTTAGGGCTTGACTTCTCCACAACAGGCCTCCTCAGTCTCAGTGCCTGGTTAAACTTAACATCTTCAGATTCTCATGCCCAAATGCAAATTCAACAATTTTCCATCCTAACTACCTCCTGATAACTCCAGGCTTATATTTTTTGTCTCCAAGGCTACTATCCTGGGATCGGTTCAGATGTTCCCTAAATACCATGAGCCCTAAGGGACCTCAATCAGCAGGAGGCTGGGAAAGAGAGACAATAGGCATGGAGCTCTCTCTAAGACCAGGGGACTGGTTCCTCTGCAGGGCCAGTTCTGGACGGTGATCTTGAAAGGGAACCATGAGGCTCCAAGGATCCATTATTTGTAAAGCTGAGCACAAGAAAAACAGTTTGTAGCACTGTCCCCTCTGTCCCAAGTTATTGAAGCTTTGGCTCACTTCGCAACTGGCTGGAAACTCATCTGGTCCACAGCCTGAGATCCCCTAGACACCCCAAAGGGACTTCTTGTTGGTATTATTTACTCACTTGAAACTTGACCGTAGGCTGCCTATGATGCCTCTTGCGTTGTTTAGCTTTTGCGTTATATTTTAAATTTTCCCAGTGGGATATTTGATCCCTTGGCGCCAGCTGGCGATCTGGATGAGCTGTAGGCATGGCGAGCCTAGGAGAATGAGTTATTCTTTTGTCTGCACTGACAACATGAAGATGCATGATGGGAAACCCAGAATCCATCATCCTAGAAACAGTGTTTTCTGTCTGAGAACATGCAAACAGGAAGGGGAGCTCAGGCCCTTTTAAAAAGATAACAGAACCTAAAATAATAGTTTTCTTTAATTATTTGGACAGTTCAGACACGTGTTATCTTTCATGCCATTTGGTACAGGTAATATTTTAGCTCCTATGGGCAGTGTCTCCCAAAGACCAGGGGGTTAAGGCTTGGTTGTCACCTGCGGAGCTCTTTTTTCAAGCTTTGGGGAGTGAGCAGGATTCTCTGCCCTGCACTGCTCCCATTGTGTTCTTCCTCACCTCGGGCCCCAAGGCCATGCCCTGTGGGCTGAAAGCCAACTGGGATAAAACACAAATGTTGTAGGGGTAGAGGGATACTCAGAAAGGGATCCTGCAGCTGCTCTAGCATCTGACTTAGGTGAGCAGGTGAGACAGGCGCTTGCTATGCAGCCCAGGCTGGTCTTGAACTTGTGGCAGTCCTCCTGCCTCAGCCTCTCAAATGCTGAGATTATAGGCAAGTGCCACCATTCCCAGAATTCTCTTTCAAGGGAGAGATGGGGGTGTCAAGATGTGACTTTAGCCTTGGAATAGTCATGAGTCATTGAGCCTTTTGATATAGAACAAAAATATACATTTGAGATGAGGGGTAGTTTGCATCAAGGCAGAGAGACACAAAAGTCTGAAGTATATCAGGAAAGCAGACAGTTCTTTGGGAGAGACTGCTAGGGACTCTGTGTGTGTGTGCATGCGTGCGTGCATGTGTGCATATGTGTGTGTATCCATGTCCACATGCTTAGCAGGGAAGGGATGATCGAACTGGAGAAGTAATACACAATCTTAAAGCCATGTACCATTTATGTTTTCCCCAGTTGATAAAAGGAAACCAGTTGAGTTTCTTTCAGCCATGAAAGGAAAATGATTAGAGTTGGTTAGTAATGCTCTGATGTAAAGAGAGAATTGGAGGGGCGTCATTCCAGAGGCCAAGAAACCAGAGTTTTGTTTAGACTCCCGCTTGCCGGTCTAGACACGGGCATAAAGAGCTGGATTAAGGCAGGAGGAGGCTTTGGAGAAAAACAGCAGAGAAAGCACTGACAGCTCTGGAGCCATATGAGATGTGAGCGTGGCTTGTAGCCTGAAATGTCCCAAACATACAATGTGCAATGTGATGCTTTTGTTTTAGAGAACATTCCCCAATCGCCCACCCCTTTAAGACTGCGAGATTTTACCAGACCTCGAATCTTGTAGGAAATCCCAGGAATGTTACATCAGAATTCATCAGACCCCATGGATGGGTTTGTAACCTGGCTACTTTGCTCAACTACTGGGCTTTGAGACACACACACACAAATTATATATCATTGATTTGGCAAGGCTATTCTGCCTGCCACTTCCCTGAAGATCTAAAGGTCAAGGTGATATCCTGTTATCCTGGGTGCCAGTCTCCAAAGCCTGTGCCTCACAGTGGCTTTGCAGGACCTCACGTCTCCAATTCCATGGTAGTTCAAGACAGCTTCTCCCAAAAATCATAGGACATAAACCTCAGGGCTGGACACATAGCTCAGTGGTAGAGCACTGAGCTCCAGGTTCAGTCTCTAGCCTCCCTGCCCCGAAAGAGGATATTCCTGGGCTTTTACTAGACTTTCCTCTCCAGAGGCTGGCTTCCATCCTAACAGCGACACTTTTGACAACCTAATATTCTAACTCAACAGGTCTGTAACAATTTTGAAACTCATTTCTATATGGTTAACATACTTTGTCTATGGAATAATTCATAATACTCTCCTCCTCTTTGAGCAGTGTGAGCCTAAAAACATTTCTTTGGATGACAATAAACTGTGTGACTTGTGAAATCAGACTTTATTATCTCTTTATTTCCATCAGATGCAACGGAGGATCAGGGAGACAGGAAGGGAAGAATTTTAAGGCCACGCCTGGATGGCAAAGCCCACTTTTTGACATTAGGTGAATCCTGAAAAAGTTTTTTTTCTTTTTCTTATGCTAACAGAGGCTACGCTTATTTGAAATAAGTAAAAATGTTACTTATGATTTGTGACTTTTTAAATACCAGCTCATAAAGTATTCCTTCACTTGAAAAACACAGTGAATTTCATGACTTGCGGTAAACTAATCTAATTATCCTCCAGTTATTCACATCTCTCTCCTCCTCTGCATACTTGCCCTTCTCCCCAGCAGACTCGCTCTGCAGAACCCCCTCCCTACTACATGACACCAATCAGAGTTCAGAGTGAAGACAAGCATCGAGCAGTTCTGGGCTCTGGTGCAAGTGCGATTTCTATAAAAAGACATTTAGAAAACAAGGAGCAATGTTGCCATTTTGCCTTTAATGGAAAACCGGCCAGTAGTTACAGTTTAAAAAAAAAAAAAGTTATTTTATTAAAAAAAATTCTACCCAACTTGCAGACAATCACTGTGAATCTTCAGAAACACACATACACTTGAAAACCAGGAAAGTCTTTATAAAAATAAACTCTGAACATGTGATTAAAAAGGGAGAGACCCAGTCTTTTAGCTGCACCATGGCATAATAAAAAGGACACAGTTTGCCCCAGACAGCTCAGCCCAGGGTGGAGGGGGCTTTGACTTTGGAGGACAGAGCCTGCTTGAAGCGGCGCTTCAGGTCCTGCATGTTGGGAGAGCGGGGCCGGGGGATGATGGAGGTCCTTCTCCGCTCCCCGCTGAGGCTGTGCACCTTGCTGACTTCCTTGCAGAGATGCTGAAACACATCACAGACGTCTTCGTAGTTTTCACTCGTGGATATCTCAAGGAACAGGCTGCCCAGCTCATTGGCCAGCTGAATACCATCGTGCGTCTGTACCTGCCGGGCATGCAGAAGGTCCCCCTTGTTTGCCACGATGATGACAGGGGCTTTGGAGTCAGGGTGGACCTTCCGGATGTGCTGATAGAGGGGCCGGATGGACTGGTAGCTGTTGTAGTCCGTGATGGAATAGACCAGCAGAAAGCCATCTGCCCACTGCATACACTTGGACAGGGAATCCGTTGCCTGGCTGGGGCTGTCCTGGGCCTGAGAAAGATAAAAGGAGGTCTGATCAAGGAAGCCCTCGTTCAAGATGAACTTAAATATAACATCAAAGTAACCACTGCAAAAAGCAAGCATTAAATATAGTTTTCAGGTTCTACCGGCCTCTGCAGAAGGAGGCTTTTGATACAGTGTGCAAATTCTCCAGCTCCCAGCCTGCCTTATTTTGTTAGCTGCTACTGAGGGATGATTTTTAACCCTCCCCACCTGACAGGCAGTCTCGGATGAACCGTGGCTGACTGAGTAACTTTAAACCAGAATGGCTCAATTTTTAGAGAACTAATTCATAATAAACAAAACTTTGAAAATAAGCCAAGATAAATATGTATTCCCAAACCCATAAAAATATTTTTAGCAGGCAACTTCATGAGAATGCTACAGAAACAAATTCCTTTCTTTGGCTTCTTCCCCAGGCCCTTTCCTCCCTCTAAGGGATTCGCATTAGTTACTTGCTGGTTAAGTTACATTCCAGACCAGACTGCTGGCCAAGAGGTTTTGTGATGGCAATCCCTGGCTCAGAGAAGCAGCCAAGGCGAGTGCCTCGGGCTGTCCTGGGTGGGAAGAAGACCCTCTCCCACCAGAATGCCACGCTTTCTTGCTTTTGTTTATTAGTTAATTTTTAAACGGTGCTGGGAATCAAACCTGCGGGGAGGGGGTGTCATGTGCTAATCATACCCTTTACCACCAAGCTGCACCCCCAGCTGCGATTTGTTGTTGTTTGGTTTTTATGGTTTGGGTGAGCCCTGCCTTACTGACGGCTGTCGAGACTGCAAGGTAAAGCTAAGCATCAGTCAGTGACCCATATATGGGTCTGATAAGGTCTCCCGTGACATTCCTGAGGGGAGAGGGAGTTCCACACCAGAAGCCCAGAAGCAGGGACCATAACATGCTGCACTCTCCAAGTCGCCTCTAACCAACCGCCTCCTTGGGGGAGTTTACAACACCCCAACCCCAGGCCCACAGCGGGCAGCCCACCCCTACATTTAAGTGCATTTAAATCCGCAGGTATCTGGGCCTCGTGCTCAGTTCCGCCCGTGTGGCACGCTGGCCGGCCTTGGGTGGCCCGAGAGGTGCCTGGTTCCTCCTGGCCGTCCTCACCTGCACGCTGCCAGGTGTGTCCTGGATCTGCAGGGACAGCTGGTCCCCCTCGACGAAGACGAGCCGGGAATACAACTTGCCTGGAGGATGAAGTCAAGAATTTACTTTTAAATTCCCGCACTCTGCTCAGCAAACAGAAACAAGCAGGAAAACAGCGAGCACGAAGTTACTCTAACCTGTATTCGGCTCATAGTCGCCGATGAATCGCTTGGTCAGGAAGCGCACTATCATTGCTGGGATGGAAACAAGAGAATCAGCTCTGGGAACAGGTCCAGACCCTAGAACGTGGACCCTTGCCGGTGCCGATGGGCCGCCGGACCCCGCGCGGGCTGCCCACAGCGCACGCCTGGCGTTCAAGGCCGAGGGCGCAGCGCAGGGGCTTCGGAGGTCCGGGTGGGCACGACCGGAAGGAGGCCCCCTCCCGCACCCCGCCTCCACCAGGCGCCCCGCCCCCCAGCCAGGCCCGAGCCCGGGGCAGCGGCACCGAGGAAACAGGTGGGCAGGAAGGCTCCGGGACTGGGGGACCCTTCCGATGCCGCGGGGCGCGGTCCCCTCGGCCCCGGCTCCCCGGCCCTCGCCACCCGCACACTCACCGCTCTTGCCCACGCGTCCGGCGCCCAGCACCGCTAGCTTGATGTCCTTTGGCGGGAGGCAGTCGGAGGAGGACTCCGGGATGGGTGTGAGCAGAAAGTGCCCGGACATGGTGGGCAGCCGCATGGAGCTCGACCTCGGCGGGGGCGCAGGGCGCAAGGCCGGTCGGGGCCGCGCCCGCAACCGGAGTCTGGAGCCGCTCAGCGCCGCTTGGAGCCCGGTGCTCGAGACTCGCCCGGCTGCCCGGCCCGCGGCTTTTAAAGGGCTGCATGGGCGGAGCGCGGGGGCGCCCAGCTCCTCCCCACCGTCCCGCCCCTGCGCACCGCCCGGCTCGCAGTGCGCTGCCAGCTGCCCTGTTGCCCGCGGGAGGCCTCTTAGCCTCGCTGCGCTCACCGGCCCGTGAGTCCTGCGGGCGACTTGAGTTTGGGGCCGGTGGAGGAAAGAAAAAGAGGGGAGCACAGTCGGTCGGCTACACCTGGCACAACGGGAGGGGTGGAGTCCTGTCGAATTTTGCCCTTTATGTTTAAAAGGTGCTGAGCGGTGACACTAATATGGGGAAAGAGAGAGAGTCATAAGCCTAAGTCGGTGCCCTCGAGGTAGCGGCAGTCACTTGCTCGGGCAGCCCAGGCAGCAGCTCTGCAGCCGCGCTCCAGACCCGGCAGCCTCTCCCCGCGGGCGGGCGCCGCGGCTGACTCAGCCCAGCACCAACGCGCTTCCACCTGCTGCGCGCTGCGGCTCCAGCCCTCCATCATCCATCCCGGGCTCTGCACTTGAGTCATTCATGTGCTTCGCTGTTCACGTATTTACTTCCAGTACGGGTAGGGTTAGCGTGGAAGTGGGGGAGAGAGGAGAGCACAGGAGCGCACCGTGGCCAGTCAGAGGCCTTGGAACTTTATCCTTGGAGTTAGAAAACCTTCGTGTGTCTCAGGGGCTATGTTCCAGCCTTTATCGGTTAAATTCTACTACGTGATAAACTGGGCAAAATTTATTGTCTTAGGGCAACAACCGCTTCCTACCCAGGTATAGCTCTGGGGGTCCGTTACGTTAACCCAGGTCAGGCGCCCCTGATCCTGGCACATCGCTTCCCTGCACCATGGATAGCACCCCCAGATCCTGCGGGGAGAAATGGGGCCTGGTGGCCTAAGTCCGGCTCACCCTGTCTGGAGCCGGTTATAGGATGTGACACGAAAGTGGCAGTTGCTGAGTCACATGTCTCAACCTCGGGCAGGTTGGCAGGGCTTGAGTGAGCAGAGGGTTCAAAGCCTACCAAGATCTAGGCTCTGGTGGGGCATCTGCGGTTTGTGCTGCCTTCTGATGGCCAGAGCAAGTCCGCAGGCCAGCCTCGGTTGAGTAGGTGGAGGCAGGCCCGGCTCCCGTGGAGGGGAGGAATGGCACGCTTGGGAGGACCGTGGCAGAAGACGGTAGAGAACACGGCCCATTGGTGCAGGACAGTGCGCTGAGGAATGTGCCCCCAGCTGCCCAGCAGAAGCGCCAGGCCTTGGGGACTGTCCTCCACTGCAGCACCTCCCATGTCATCGGTCAGGCGCAGGGTCCACCACGTGTGCTGTCCACGTTTCTTCCTGTCCCTTTCTGCCCACCTCAGCTGCTCTCCTTTCGCAGTTAAGAATCCTGAACAATCCCGACATAGGCTGGCATAGGTGGTCACCCAGTTTACTTGCTCCTCCTCCCCTGAAGCAGCTTTCTGGAGTCACTGCCACCAGCCTCGGCAGCACCGATCGATCTCAGCTGCCTGTCCTCCCTGGTGGGACACTTGCTTTATGTCTGTCTGCAGAAAGCAGGAGCCCTGGTTTATCTGCAGTGGCACCTGTTGCAGTAAACCAGCTTCCTGAATAAATAAATGTATATCTACAGATTTCTCTAAGAAAAAAAAAATAAAAACAATGTATAAGGAGTGGCTTCCCTGTATGAACTGGAAAAGACACAGGTTTATGATTTTTTTAAAGTCAAGATCTCACCATGCATTTCAGGCTGGCCTTGAGCTCACAGCAGCCCTCCTGCCTCCGCCTCCTGAGTGCTGGGAATAAAGGTGTGCTCTATGATTTATTCACCAGGTTTATGATCATCACTCCAATGTCTTGCCTTCGAGAGCAACTTGTTTCAGAGGAGATATCCCGGAGTATTGGAGTTACATGGACTGTGATGGTTCCCAAGGAAATGTTCCTCCACTGAACTTCAGTTTAACTGGAAAGACTTCAAATAGGGCACCGTTGTCCTACATGCAAGGACGCCTTAAGGAGCAAAGGCGAAACTGTTAGGTTCCAGGGCTGTGGCTCCAGGATGGGGGTCTAGCCTGTTTTGTTAGACCTTGGCTTCTCCTTGTTGGATATGAGATGGCATCAAATCCTCACCCAAATAAGAAGGAAAGGATTGTCTCTTTTAATATGAATAAAATAATTTTCAAAAGGACTCAACTGACTTCCTTCACATATCATAAGCCAGTGTAGAGAAGCTGTAAGAGGAAGAGAATCTAGAGAAGCTAGATTTCAAAAATCTAGCAAAGGTTAGGATGGCCATGACCAGCTCGGACAATCATGGCTCCTCGCCAGGGGGTGAACACACTACTGGCCCTATTCGAAAGAGAAAGAACTGAGAATGGCTGCTATGTACTCTGCCACAAAGCTCTTTCATTTTTCCAGGGTAAAAATGCAGAATATTGGCTTTGGGCTTATAGCTAAGTGGGGTTTTTTTGTTTTTTTTTTTTTAAGCAGAGCTTTAAAAGGAAGAGTTGGGCTGGACCTTGAATCTGGAGCAGATCTCATCACTTCATTCTCAGTTTTACTTCTGCTATTTGGAGTAAGATCATTTTAGCTTATGGTAGTCTGGTAAGAATTCCCAAGAATGCTTTGTGCCCAGGGATAATTATGCTCCATTTTGCACCTTTGCTTAGAAGAGCTCAAAATGTTAGTTCTTTCTCCTTGCAAAGGTTCTTGAAATTTATAGATATACAAATGAATCTGTGACCTTTTAGAGAAGACAATAAGCCACTCATCTAGAGAATTATAAATAGCCTTGCTTAAATTGTTGCTGCTTGTGTTGTAGTTATATAAAATAGTGGCGCAACAATGTAACCCGGCAGACCCAAGTGGTTTTAAAAAGATAACAGAAAAGCACAGGCATAGATACAGACGCAGAAATCTGTGGGTGTTGAGAATGTGAAGGGCAAAATTTGCTAATTCACAAATAATACCAGACTTGGGAAGTAGTTAAGTCTTTATTAGCCAAATAAGAGCTTGAATTCTAGTGGATAGACCAAATCTGCCAAGGTTCCCAGGTTCACAGGCCTCCCCTCTCGCCAGCACAGGTCCCTGAATGTCCGATTTCCCTGGGGCCTCAGTGAAGCTACTCTCCCCAGACAGGAATCCTGCTTCTGCCCTCCACCAGCTCCCCTGTTACTTCAATCAGTGGTCAGCATCACTGAAAATATCCTCTCCACCAGTTTCTGTGGTCTGTGCTGGTAGAGGACACAGAGCACAGCTGGCTTTTCATTCTCCGAGAAGAGAGTAAGGTATCAGATGTGCCCGCCTACCTTCTCTAGTTAATTAAATTAGTTGTCATTGGTAAATTATTAAGCTTACTAGTATTCTCAAACAGCATCTTAATTGTTTGTCTTTATTGATCCTGTAAAATGGATTAAAATACTCTACATTGAGGTTCAGGCAAACAGTCATTGTTAAAATCACAGACCAGCTGGGACCCCACTGACTGCAAATCTTGGCCCTTCCCACCGGTGTGCGAATCAGGATGAAGAAACTCGTCACCCACATGAAGGACAAAGCACAGGCCAGATGCAGGCTCCAAAAAACCCTACAACAGGGCATTAAATCTGAGGGAGAAGAGGGGTCCAGGAATGCTGGTCTCTGGAGCCTGCATGTTCTGTGACGGGAGGAGGTACAGGGAGACGAGGTGTGTGAATGCAGGGAACAGCAGAACCACAGGGCAGGAAGCACACTACACGCTACAGAATGTTGAATAGCCTCATGGAGGGAGCGGTGGTGCTGATCCCAAAGGCTGGTTCAAGACTGGCCTCTGGATGGCAGCTTGTGCCATGTTAAGGAATTGGGGGGTGGGATTGAGACAGGGGCTCACGATATATTTGGCTGGTTTTGAACTCACCTAGCAGCCCAGGCTGGCCTCAAACTTGCAGTAATCTTCCTGTGTTGAGATTACAGATGTGTGCCACTGAGCCTGGCGAGGCAGAGGAATTTACCAGAAGGCTGTGGAAGGGCTTCCTGTTCCTGTGAAGTAGGTAGCTTCTACAGGGTCTGCGCTCGGAGCTTACAGAGGGACAGGATGCAGTCTCTGTTCTCAGTGCTCTTAGACGATCTAATTACTCGTCTTCCATCTTCTCTCTTCCTTCTTAGTCAGATCAAATATTAAATTCCAGCGCGTCTTCTCTTAGCCACCTCCTCTAAAGAGTACCCCACTGGATTTCTTTTCAAAGCCATGCAATTCCCGCAAATTCTAATCTGCTGGGAAAGTGCGTCTGAGAGCGCTCTCCCTGTGCTTTCCCATTAGCAGCTCTGTGGGATGGCCCCTCAGGGCCCCTTAGCACACTTTTTCAGTGTCTGCAAAGAACTGGCACAGAACCCTGGCTGCTTCACGCCTCTGTCCGCATTTCCCAGCTCAGCATAATGGCTGCGGGTGCTGCCTCACTGTTATTATCATAACCCAGCAAGGTGACGAACAGAGTCTGTGCAAGTTTTCTGCATGCATAATACCATTTTCCTCTTTTAAGGGCTGCCAGCTATGAAAAATATGGTATAAGTGCTCATATTCCAAGTAAATCAAGTGCAGTTTCAAATTACTCCTCTTGTACTCAGGAGATAAATCTACCTTTTTAAAATGTTAGCAATTTTACTGCAAAATTTCAGCAATTGTTCCTAGTTTAACATTTCCCATCCCAGTACAACTGTTAACACTACACTAGCAGAAATATGGAGGAGATAGGAATTTGAGTATTTTGTTTCTGCCACAACATTCGGAAGAAGACTTACAAAGAACTACCGTATACTTTTGGAACTGGGTTCAACTGAACAAAAACAGAAGGTAAATGACTAGTTCAGAAGCAGAATTTAAAGTCACGATGATTTACTACCTTTAAGAAAGGGGAAAACATTTCATAGCATTTTTCTTCACTTTCACTGACAAGTATACAAAAAGGAAACTGAATAAGGAGTGAATTAATACTTTCACACCGCCTGGGGTTACTCATTATTTAAAAGGAGCTGCCC